TGTGGTCCGTACTTTTTGATTTGTGGACTTTTTGACTTGAGGATTTTTATTGCCCTCTGGCCGCGATCCACTGACCCGCTTTCATTCTAGAATTGAATCAGATCCCGATCAGTGTAGACACAGCCTTTGAGGCAGTACTTGTGGTTACGTGGCAGTGCTTTCTTGGTTTCTTATGTGATGGCAGCTTCCGCTGTTCTGAAGAAGATTGCTGGGCTGTTAACATTTTACTGCCATAAGCTCCTTACATCTTGCCTAAATATTTTCTTTAAGCTTGTTCTCGAAGTCGTTAGCACGACTTGCTCGATCTACGCATCCTGATCACCCCATGCTGAAAATCCCAGCGGTGAGCGAAGTTCAAATCGAAGTTTTATGCTCAGATTTGAGGTTCAGGTACTTCATGGTGAAGCTCCATGGTCTTCAGCACAAGCAGAAATCAGTGTAATCAATGCCTATAAGTCTGCTCGCGACAAACTCTCCTGTGTTGTTCGGTATAGAATAGCAAACAAATTTGGTGGTAGCAAACAGAACGCTTTCTAGGTGTTGTGAAACAATAAGCAATCTCATCTCCATGGCACCTGGCATGGGTGCAGCGGCAGCAGACGATATCACCCCCATTTTAGTTTACGTCATTATCCAGGTAATTTTGTTGTCTGTATCTAGCAGCTTGTTACTTTTTTGTTCAGGCAAATCCTCCCTCGTTATTATCAAATGTGCAGTATATCCAAGGTTTTGGTGGCTCACTTCTCGAGGGAGCAGAAGGGTATTGGTGGACTCAGTTTACAGCTGCCATCGAATTTGTCAAAACACTTCTCTAATGTCTTGCTGTGCCAAATCTACTCGGTTCCTTTGTAAGCATGGGTTGCTAAAATTACAAATGAGATAGTTATGTCACCAGAAGAACATCATCATAGAATATACAGATAAAGGAACGTGTGTTGTAATACAAAACGCTTTGTATGGTTATGAGTACCACGTTTTTGGGAATAGTACCAGTATTCATGAAGGCGATTTATGGACAGTTTCTAGATAAGTAGCGGTATCCGCGAGAAGTTCGTTCGGAATATGAACCTTCTATCAAAGCACATCTAAAATCATGCTCAATGCAGTGAGCTCAA